TGGAACAAATTTGTTTAGGGGTAACAAAAGTGTTTCGGGCCCCCCCGGTTCAATTTGGAATAAATTTGTGGGGTTGGAATTGGAGCTTTTTTATTAGTTAAAAAGTTTTACAAGGTAATTTGTCACCCCAACCGGGGGGAAAACTGGGCTCAAATTTGCACAATATTCCGTTTTTGGAAGTATCCTTAAGTCAGCATGTTTTTCTGGGCAGTATGCTTGTAGGGTTCGTATGTTTTTCAATAAGCTTTTCGTATATGAACGATCATTTCATAAACCAACGTCATTGATATTTATTTTGATAAATTATCATTGATTGAGTCGAGATCGTCATCTAAGATTACAATTGATTGTCTCCATCCAAATTAGGTGAATTAATCGAGTATTTTCAAATTCAGAGTTTAATTGATTTGAAATATCTGAAGTGATATCTACAAGCGATAGTCGTTTCATATTTGGAACAGTTGGATTCTCCTTGTTGAAGGTAACGAATACACATTTGGAGATGCCTGAATCTTTTCTTTCTAATCTAATTCTGTCCATGACATCGACAGTCATTGAAATGTTTAAGAATGTCAGAATAACAGTATTCTTTGGGAGGTTGGCATCTCTTTCAGCTGCATTGATTATATCGACAGATTCTATGATGTAGCGTTTGTTTTCAGGGCTTAGAAGAAAGCTCAATTTTGAATTCATAAATCCTTCTTTTGAGGTAATTGGTTGGTTAAATTCAACTGCGATAGATCTGGTGGCTCCTCTCTTAATGATATCATACTCTAATGACAGAGGTAAAGCGGGGGAGAAATCAGATTCTTCATCATCTGGCCTGTCTTGATTTTTGTATTTCAATAAGACGAAACTCAAAGTTAAATCATTGGAATTCAACTGAGTTTTGAATTCTGATAATCTTTGTAAGACGCTATTGTAAAAATCTAGACAAATTGGACGTGAGAGGAAACTCAATAGAATTGATTGTGTATCATGATTGTTTGCATTATCGTCATTGTCATTGTTGTTGTCATTGTCATCATCGTAATCGTCATTGTTTTTGTTGTTGTCATAAATGCCATTCGAATTGATCAGGTAGACACTTTCGATTGGTCCAAAATTCACGAATTTTTTGATAAAACAGTGTAGGTCTACTGATTTATCGACGTTTTCGAAAAGCAGAGATCTTGTTTGGTATTCATCGTTACCTTTAGGTAAGACTTTGTAACTAATGGTGAACCTATTCAGAGAATTTTCTTGGAAACGTTTAATAATATTTTTTTGAGTAAAACGACCGCCGTTATTGTTCGTATTCCTATGCGAGTTATGATTACCACGTCTATTATTATTGTTGTTGTTGTTATTGCTGCTGCTGCTGTTGTTATTATTGTTATTGTTATTTGAAGAGGCATGAGCTCTTGAAGAAGGAGGTAAATTTATAGTCGGTGGAGCCGGATAAGCGCTACTTAATCTTCCCATCGAATTCCCACCTTTTGAAGGTGAAGGCCTTGCAAACTGTTGAGAATACGATTGCCCCATAGTTGGAGTTGAGACAAAGGGAGACCCCATCAATAAATGAGAAGGCAACAAACTTGCACCATACGCAGAATCAAAAGGTGTTGGTGGAGCATTAGGTATATGTTGGTTAGTATAATACACACCAGGTGAATTCGACAACTGAGAATTTATCATATTGATAGCAGCTACGGCATCTCTACCGGCTAGCCCTTGGTGATAAACTGGATAACCTGAATTCAAGTAAGGCTGCTGATGCTGATGCTGGTGTTGGTGTTGGTGTTGGTGTTGGTGTTGTTGCTGTTGGTGTTGTTGCTGTTGAAGAATTGGCAAATGTCCACCATTGTGATGTGACTGCTGTTGCAATTGGGCATACGAACCAGCCTGTTGCTGCGATGCTGGAAACTGTGACGATTGTTGGTATTGCGTAGTAACATGGCTATTACTGCTGTTTTTCCTGGGAGATCCAGCCATCGTCCCTCTTACCCTTATTTCCGTGAAACTCTTGTCTAATATCCCAGCAATATCTATATATATATGAATATATATATATTTATATGTAGCTAGATGAGTTTATATTTAGATATATGTATATATATGTGTGTGAGCATATATATAAATATAAATATATCAATCCTAGTGCAAAAATTCAAGCTCAAACTCAATTTTCTTTTGAGAGGAAAAAAAAAATAAAAGTTCCTAACGTCTCTGCTTACAAAAACCTCTTGCACGTACGTCACCCTCCCCTTCTCAGAACAAATATCGTCCTCAATCAACCCTCCAATCCTTTATATAATCCATCACAACCTTCATTTGTGTCCTCAACTTCTTGATCCTGATCCTAAAATATTTGATACGTTTGAGTTTTTGCAATTTTTTGCTTTGTCTCACGATTCGACTGCTTTAGGTTAAAGGAAAACAGGGCAAAGGCGTCTGGTCTCTTTAGTTCGATTCGAAGTTTCATAATGGCCGCAAGGTGAAATTTGTAAAATGAGGATGAGCCAGCATACGTAAGAAGGTTTGGATTTGATGTATATAATGAATGTAAGATAGATATTGGTATTGGGGGTTAGGATTAGGAATGGTTTTGGATTAGTTTTAGTATTTGAGTTTTAGGATTGTTTTAGGATTGGTTTAGTTTGGTTTAGTTTTATGATTGTTGAGTTATTAGCTGGGGGGAGAAAGGGAAGTTCGAAAACTTTCAAGACTTGGAATTTGACTGCTAAAAATAGAAGTATTATTGTGTTTAATTTAATTTAATTTAATTTAATTTAATTTGTTTGTTGGTTTTTGGAGGTTTATTGTGATGAGTTGGATGAGTTTTGTCTTCAAGGCTATAAAGTTATATTTTTTGTTATGGTGTGGATACGTTTGGTTTGCTGGTGCTATTAGAGGGGAGAATGCACGTCAAGTTAGAGGACCAGGGTATTTCTCTGGTTCTTCTTCTGTCAACTTGGTGATTGCACATCCCGATGATGAGGTTATGTTTTTCAGTCCCACTCTGATGCAACTCGACAACTGGCTCCCTAATGATGTGGCTATAAACGTGATCTGTTTCTCTAAAGGCGTTAACGTCGATGGTTCAATCGCCGGTGAGTCACGTGCTCGCGAATTGAAAAAATCAGTCTCGATGTTGATTGAACACGACAGACCTGTCACTGTACATCAATTGGACTACAAAGATGGGAAGGATCAGATCTGGGATTTGGACTCGATGGTCTGGGATTTGAAGACTTTGATTAACCCTTCCAAGGACTACAAAAGAAAAGACCTTTTGATCACTTTTGATGAACATGGCGTCTCAGACCATCCAAATCATATTGCGTGTCACAATGCAGTCCATAGATTAATAGAAGAAGAGCCTTTATTCATGGCGTATCAGTTGGAAAGTCATAGTACAAACGTCATTTTGAAATATTCCTTTTTCGCCCGTGAAATCGTAAAATATTTCTATAATTATTGTCACCAACGTATAAAGGGTCAAACTTCATTGAACAAAAATATGGACGTCCCTTATGAGTATGTGTTGTTCAATACTCATTCGGAGTATATAATGGCATACGCAACAATGTTGAATGCTCATGAGTCCCAAGTTGTGTGGTTCAGATACGGCTGGTGGTTCTTCTCCAGATTGACTTATGCTAATGAATTAAAATTGTTCAAGGGTCAGATTATAAATTAAGAATATAAATTGTTTTTCTTTACAAAAATTGAATGAATATTTGTTATATTTTATTTACAGTTTCTTGTTCTTTGTTCTCGTGGTGTGTGTGTGTATGCGTTTGTATTTCCTTTTTCTGATCATTAATCTCACCATAATCTTCCAATTATCATATCTTCTTCTTCCATCTCGTCATATCTATCTTGCCTCTTTTTTTGACTTTGAGATTTTTTATCCCTTGTAGACAATTTTCTTAGCATTAACTGCTTTCTCTTTTTGAAGGCCTCTCTCAATTGAATCCTATTATTTCTATCGATTGACCATTCCTCTATAAAGAATGCTGCTTTCTTAAACTGGCGCCTTTCAATCAGCCAGTTCATGGCTAATGTTTGGTACTTGTTCAGTAAATTAAGCTCCGCTTTCTTTACGGCCACATTCTTCTCTGACAAATGAGGAATAAGAACATTTGAAACGATTTCAGCGGCAATTTTACCATTATTTGTTCTTTTGAAAAGTCTATAAAATTCTTCGTAGATCTGAAAATCATATGGTAAAACCACATCTTTTCCGGTACCTGCACCATTCCAATTTTTCATCATATTCCAACAACCATATCCGAAGGTCCCTTGTCTATCAATTTTAGGATCCCATAATCTGTTACACCATTGGATTAATCTTCGCCAAAACATGTTATCTAATGAAATATCTGGGTACATTCTAATGAATTTATCTAAAATTTTCATAGCCCCATCAATATTTCGATCCTTATATATGTATGAAGACATTATTGCTATTAAAATTTCATTTGATGGAGCAGAAGCAACCTTTTTCTTTTTAATAAATAAATCTAATGGATCTCCATGGGAAGATATCCCCCAATGTTCTTTGATGAAACCATCCATCATTTGTTTTTGAAAGGTATGTGCTAATGAATATACAATAGTGCTATCCAATATACCTGAATGCTTAGATTTCCAGACTTTCTTATTCAGAATCATATTAATAACTTCAAACAAAACAGTATTCGGTACTGTAGACTTATAAGAAGATGGGAATCTTGTATTTGGGGAATTTGAACTCAATCTAGAATTCTTTTTGGTTTGCTTAGTCACTGCATAAGATGCCTGTGGAACCAACCAAAATTTAGGTAGACCACCGCATCGTAACCTAAGGAAATTCACCATTGTATCATGATCAGTGATTTTTTCAATTGAGCCTTCGGCATCGATAATGTATTGTAAAACATTCTGGGCTTTCGAAAGTTGAGCTTCCTTTATGAATATCGTAATAAATAAGTTTAAATCTTTTAGATGTAAAGCATTCAATTTAATTATTCCTGACTCCTTAGGGATTGTCGATGTATAGAGTTCAAATATCTCATATATCAATTCGGTATAAGATAAACTATGATGGTTCTGAATTACTCTTTTAATATCATGCCCATTACTCTTATAGATTCTATTAATAAAAATTGATAATTCATTATACGTTAAGTCACCAGATTTAAATAGATTTTTCACAAAATCATCGTCACCTCGTAAACTAGCTAGTAGATGCAATGTAAACTTATCGATCTCATTATTTTTCAAGTAATTTCTCCAAATATTCTCAGGAAGAACATCTGATTGCTTAATGATAGTATTGGAGTTCCTGGAATGCACTAGGCTATCTAATTCAGATTCAATAGCATATTTTACAGATGTAGTTGAATAATGCTTTTCGTATCTGGAAGTGCTAATAGGTGTTATCCTTTTAGACTTTATCAATGTTAAACCAAAGCATGATTTCGACAATTGTACTGCGACATTCTTATATGGAAGTTTTTGAGATCCAATAAATTGACCCAACATTATTCACTTCCTAATACATATACAGTACTCGCAGTCACCTTCTTTAAGCCTTATTCAGCACTCTTTCAGATACTAGTTCTTGAGTAATCAACTCTTCTATTGCTGGTTAGGCTTTCTTTTAACTGTCTTGAAGAGATTGATATCAAATTTCGATGTATATATACGTATCTAATGATAAGATCTAGACAATGGGGAATACCTCTAATAAGGTATACCTCTAACTACTATTAATGATCTAATGTCAACTATTCAAAGGCAGTTAACACTGGCCATAAATGCTAGTAATTCTGATGCGCTATTTAAATATTATAATTTTAATTATTCCTCCAAAGGTAGAGCTTTTTCGGGATTATTTAGTGTCAAACGGTAACATGAAGTTTATCTCAGAATATTGAGACGCAATGGATAGTTTATTAAGTGAAGTCATTGGAAATACCAAGGTTTATTTCCCTTAACTTATTTTATAAGGATGTATCTCAATTCGACATTAAGTATTCGTTGACACTATTTAAGGTTGCTCTTGATGGATTCACATTTCTTCCTTTTAAATGTGATATTAGCTTGGTCAAATGTTTTCTAATAATAATCTTGTTAACTTCATTTGGTTTTGAAGTGTTCCAATCTAAATCGTAATGTTTGCATAGCAACATTAATACTAATGCAATTGACATGTCGGTACCAGAGTTACAACAGATTAGAATTGGTAACTCCGATTTTGCTTTATCAGTTGAAAAAAATGGTTCAATTCTGGAATGCAATTCGGGAAGTGTTTTTCTTAATGCTTTAGAGCTCTTCTTAGATCCACTTTGTAGTTGATTTATTACTATTCGTTGTGTAATTTTTTCCTCATTTTTGCTAACACTTAATTTGCACGACTCGCTGAATACTATTACCATCGAGAATTTAGAAAGAAGCTCCGAGGTCAGGCTATCCCCGATTATTAATCCATCAGCTATTTTGCCCAAAAATATATCAGTAGTGATCATATCTAGTGGATTAAAAGCTTCTAGCGTCTCTGTTTCACTGACTTCTTTTTGTTTTGCTGCTAAGAGATCCTCGACTGTTGATTGAAGAAGGTCTTCTGATCTGTCAAGATCATTGAACTGCTCGATATTATCCCAAAACATATCAGGATTCAAACCATGAGACCATAATTCATGGTCATCAGCGGCACCTTGTACATAAGTAAACCCATGCCTCTTATCCACACCGTCTTGGGCCCTATAGCTCACTGTGCATAGAATAATAGGAATTATTTCTTCATCTTCTGGAGTTTCCCATACATCATTTGTTGATTCTCCAGTAAATATGTCAGTGGTACTTTGCAATAAACTTGATCCAGGGTGAATCCAGATTGGTCGCAATAGCTTCCCATTAAACTGCTTATATAAGTCACTGCCGTCGATAATTGCTAGTTTATTTAATCTTTCAATCAGCAACGGGAGCTTTTTCAATATTCTCTGATATTCAGAATTCGGTACTGTAGATGGTGGTACAAATAATACTTTTGAATAATCATCGTTTAACTGATCTACTGATTCTAACATTAGAGAATTTAATACAGCACACCAAATCGGCACAGTTTTGCTCAATGCATCAGGGATCTTTTTACCTCTACGTGTACTATCTACAATTACTATTCCACCATTCTGAGCTAAAGTAGGTAGTAAATGGAAATTTAAACGTCTTGTACTAAAATCCCATTGATTTATATGGCCATCGGTACTCTTAAAATAACTAGTCTGTTCAAACAACTTAGGATTGCAGTACCACAGACCACACCTCTCATTTGGAATCACAGGGAATTCAGGGAAGAAAGGTATAACAGTGTCTTCCAGAAATCTGGCATCTAAAAGAATACTTTGTATTCTATTTTTTAAAGATTTATATTCTTTCTTGATATCTTTATGTATTTGATTTATAGAATAGTCATCTTCAACCTTGCTCACCATAGTCAATGGAATTAATTCACTAATATACAGCACTTGATTGATCTGAACTATAATTAATTATACATTTACCAGCAATATTGGTAGGTTTTTCCCAAGTATTCATCAACTTTATAAAAATCAATGAATTAAACATTTCGTTTCTTGCTAAATGTTTTAAATTGCTAAATTTTAAAAGAGAATTTTGGAAACAAAACGTGAATTTTTTTCAATACAATCTGGATAGCAGCTGGTACTTACTTGATCTAGTAGATTTATTACCAAGATTATTACAATTACATACATATGACTATCATCATCAACAAGTATACAATCACTAATACTATAATAATTTTATTGAATGCTTAACTCAGGATAGTAGTGGCATTGCTATAAGCCTTATATATATATATAGTTAATACCTCCTGGTTTGTTAGCCTCACCATTTCTTACAATGAAAATTAGGCCAATATACTTAGAGATTACTTATAGATGGCATCTAAGACGTTAATGATCCAGTTTCAGTGATCACCTTGGTGTTGGTGAGATAAAGCTTGTGTCTTCTCGATATAATAGATCATCTCATCGTCAATATGATTTTAATATAAAGAGAGATACCTTAATCATACCCGAATTAAAAATATAGTTGATGAAATGTTTCAGGTTTAATGAAGAAAATGGAAAGGTAGGAGCACAGTTTTGTTTTTAGTTCATTTTATCATCGGTTCTAGTAGTCATACTGGTATAGTATATCCAAATTATCTTATATATTGGGTATACTTTGATATAGATTGTGATAACTTTTAGTTTCTTGGTTCACTGCAATGCCAAAAACAAAATATAATAAAATATTAGCCAATGATGAAATATTAGATGATGATGATATTTTAGGTGATGGTAATCATTTTGATGAATCAGAGGTACCTGATGGAAAGAGACCGAGTTATAGGAAATACGATGTCCATGAAGGGATTATGTTTTGTGTGGAATTGTCAGAACAGATGTTCCAACAATTACCTGAATTAAATTATAAAGTACAGCTATTGGAAATACTCGAGTCCCTTTTAGAGTTAATGTCACAATTAGTGATAACAAGGCCAGGCACTGGTGTAGGCTGCTACATATACAATTGTCATAAAGACAATTCTAACAATAATATTTTTAACTTTATACCCTTGGAAGATGTTAATGTCAAGGCAATGAAAAAAGTTAATGATCTACTAGATGATCTGTCTAATGAGAGAACTACTTTGACTAAATATTTCCCTTATGACAAAACTCAGCGTACCCCTTTGGAATCTTTATTAGAATTAACACAAGATGAACTTGTGAAAAATGTCTCGACTCCAAAACCCTTTAATAATAAGAAGGTATTCCTATTTACAGATAATGATTCACCAACAGAGGCTTCAGACAAGGCAGGTAAGGCAAGATTGAGAAGACTGTTTGACGATAATAATGAAAATTTTATTACCTTTGTTCCATTTTTTATCAATAGAGAGAACAAGCCGTTTGATAGTTCTTTTTATTCAGATATCTTTAAATTGGGCAATTCGGAAAACCCATCATCTGATTATGAAATCGAATTTGATGGCCCAAGTACAAGACCAATATCTGCATCTTACATAAAATCTAGAGTTTTAAGAAAACAGGAGATTAAAAGGGTTTTGTTCCAATGTTCTTTAATATTGAACAAAGAAATGAACTTCACCGTTGCCATTAAAGGTTACTCAATCGTCAGTCAAGAAAAAGTGGGAAGCAGGTACAAAATGGTTTATGAACATGAAGATGTACGGAAAGAAGCATTTTCTAAGAGAAAAATATTAAATTGTATAACCGCTGAAGAGGTTAAAGAAGGTCTAACAAAAGTTTTCCCTTATGGTGATCTTAATATAGAACTTTCAGAGGAAGACATCAAAAAAGTTAAAGAAGCTTATCTTGAAGATGGTCCATTTTTAAAGTTATTAGGGTTTAGATCACTCGAAATCTCTTTACATTATTATAATAATATAACAAAACCAAGCTTCGTCGTCCCTGATGAATCTAAAATAGATGGATCCATAAGAATGCTTGCTTCGCTTTTTAGAACCATGAGGAAGAAAAATAAAGTAGCAGTTCTTTGGGGGAAACTTAAAGGTAACTCCCATCCAGGACTCTGGGTACTCTCTGCATCAAATGCAAGTGATCCCAATGAAGGATTTTTTTTATACAGAATACCTTTTCTTGATGAAATTAGAAAATTTCCAGTAATAACTACAAGCAGCTTCAAAGAAAATGCGATGAACACCATCGAATACGAAAATATAAAGAGAACTACAGAAAATATTGTTGGTTATTTCAACTTGAAGCATGGGTACATACCATCA